CAGCTTTTCTGTCTAGACTCAATAGCTGCTGGATAGGAAACACTGGCCATCTTTATGCTGCAACCTTGATAGCTTGTGAAATTCATAAGATTATTTCAGATGAAGGAGGGCGAGGAACTCATTTAACCTCAACTGCTTTCTCTTCTAGCCAGTGCTATTTTTCTAGGAGAAGAGGTGCTGAAGTTCATCATGAACTTCCCCCTTGTTCTCTGAGAATGACAATGGTGCCCACCTGAGAGGTGCTGGAGCGGAGCTCCGGTGAGCTCTGGCTGAAAAAATATCTCTCTCTCTGCTTCTAACTTCAATAAAGATACCATGCACAGAGCCAGACTTACCCATGTAAAACTTGCATAACGTTTTCTTCAATCATTGCCAGTCAAAGCAAAGGAATGGCATGGAGTGTGCAGGGACAAGGGCGATGGGTGGGAAACAACTTGCTTCATGGATCATGGAAGATACACATAGCCTTATGATGATCTCATGGAGGATGAGGGGGACGAGGGGTTAAAATTTGCTTAATTCAATTTCCTGCATGGAGATCACTTGTGTACATGTAGGAAATTACATGTACAGGGGTACCTCAGGTTACATACGCTTCAGGTTACAGACTCTGCTAACCCAGAAATAGTACCTCGGGTTAAGAACTTTGCTTCAGGATGAGAACAGAAATCGGGTTCCAGCAGCGCGGCAGCAGCAGGAGGCCCCATTACCTAAAGTGGTGCTTCAGGTTAAGAACAGTTTCAGGTTAAGTACGGACCTCTGGAACGAATTAAGTACTTAACCTGAGGTACCAGTGTATTCTTCTTGGAAGCTAAGCAGGGTCTGACCTGGTTAGTACGTGGAATGGAAAACCCAATCAGCAATTCTTAAGGGTTTTTTTTTGCATTTTCCTCCCATCGCTCCTCTCAAGAAGCTGTGATCTTTGCAGCCCCTTTTCCATTCTAACTTCACAACAACCCTTCAAGGTTGGCTAGAATAAGTGTGAATGGCCTACAGTCACTTAGTACGCTTTGTGGCTGAACAGGTGCTTTCAACCAGCTCTGTCTAAATTTTTTGTATTTAATTTTTTTTAATTGGTAAGTAGTACCTTTACCTTTTAGAATTTCTGAAGCACCCACCTAGCAATCACCAGCATGACATTTCACAATGTTCGGCATGGTGAGGTGGTTAAAGTGTCTAACTAGGACTGGGAAGTAAAAGGTAAAGGTAAAGGGACCCCTGACCATTAGGCTCAGTCATGGACGACTCTGGGGTTGCGGTGTTCATCTTGCTTTATTGGCCGAGGGAGCCGGCGTACAGCTTCCGGGTCATGTAGCCAGCATGACTAAGCCGCTTCTGGCGACCCAGAGCAGTGCACGAAAACGCTGTTTACCTTCCCGCCGGAGCAGTACCTATTTATCTACTTGCACTTTGAGGTGCTTTCGAACTGCTAGGTTGGCAGGAGCAGGGACCGAGCAACGGGAGCTCACCCCGTTGCGGGATTCGAACCGCCGACCTTCTGATTGGCAAGTCCTAGGCTCAGTGGTTTAACCCACAGCGCCACCCGCATCCCTAGGACTGGGAAGACCAGGGCTCAAATCCCTATTGTGCCTGAAATCTCGCTGAGTGACATTGGACCAGTCACCGGCTGTCAGGTTAACCTTTCTCATAGGATTGTTATGAAAATAATGTGGAGTTGGGAAGAACCATTTTCAGCAGACTGAGTCCCTTGGAGAAATGGTGGGATGAAATTTTCAGAATCACATAATAACCAGATACATCTCAACGGGTGAGGTGAAGCCACAATGCTAGCTTCCTAACAGGAAGGAGAGGGGCAGGGGCAAAGGGGCAGGGGTGGTTAAAGTGGTGCAAATTCAGTGGCACCTAACTGGCTCCACTAGGAGATTTTCGCTGCACGAACTTCCCTGCCACCTCTCTCCAGGTAAGGAACAGGTGACGTGCCTGCTGGGAAGCTTGTGAAGTGGGTTGACCCCAGCTGGCAAACCACTTCTGATAATGGCAAGTTCTCAGTCTCTCAGAAGAAGGCATTGTCCCAACAATTATAAAAGCCAAACAAAAGTTTTTTGCTCGATATTTTGGCACAGGAACACTTCGCCTATTAGGGGGTTGATTAATGGCCGCTTTTTTATCTCTTTCCTGCTTCCATCTGCCTTTCTTCCAATTTTGGATTGTTGAGTGATTAGTTTCACAGAGGAACAGATGAGAGGAACAGATGAGAAGAACAAATGTTACCAAAAGAGGGTGGGGGAGTTGCCATTGAAATTTAGCCTAAAACACAATTGGAAGCAACTCTGGAGGTTCCTCTTTAGGTGAAGAATCTAAAGAGTTTTAGAAGATAATTACAACTGAAATCTCTTCAAAGACGGGGGGTGATTCTGCTTAAGTCTTGATGGGAGGAAGCCATTATGGAGTTGCTGGACTCCAATGCTCCTCTGCCTATGGTCATGGGACTTGTAGTCCAACAACATCTGCAGGGCTCCATGCTGGCTACTGGCCTAACGGTTAGAGGCTAGAGTCTAACCAGATCATGCCTAAGACAAAATGTGAAGTGCAATAGAAAATATGAGAATGTGGTGTGGAATTTTGTGGTCAAACGAAACATGGTTAAGAGGAGGCACTGGGTTCACATGTAATGCCAAGCTATAGATAAACAAGCAAAGGTTCGTAAGCCAACAACAAGCCATGGCTTCAGATCATGGTATGCTGGCAGTTAACAAACCATAATTAAGCCATTGGGCAACGTTCACGCATAGCACGAAGCCATGGTTTAGTAAACCGGGATTTAATAAACCATGGCTTAGTGTTATGTGTGAACTGGGTCAGTACCATTTCTAGGCAGAGTGTGTCCATTGAAAAGAGCATTTTGGTGCCACTCAACATGCGGTGGGGGCTATGCATTATGTCCAGAAATATCTCCCCTGTGTGATAGGCCTTGGAATGCACAGTGAGGTAACTTTCTGAGGTTTTTTTAAATTTTTTTTGCCAAGTTCTCTCATTGAAGTGTTAAACCTATATATGGGACGTACTACTTCAGATTTAGCAGATTTGACTGAATGCTGCTGCTTTCAGTTTTCTACATGAGGTCATTTGGGAGGGGGAGGGGATTGAGATGTTAAGATGTGTCCTGCCCCTCCTGCGGTCTAAAGTTGTACAGCCCAGAAACATGTCTACCAAGAAATGCAAGTTCTCTTCAGGCATTCCAAACAGGGGAAAGTAAACAGAAAGTAAAGAACAGCAGGGACAAGCACACCCATCCACCATCATCATTTCCATTACCGTCCAACTTGGGGCAGGTGACTGCCTGCAGCTGGGAGCCTCTGGTACCTGTGCAGGTTCTCTGTGCTCCCTTCCCCTTTGCCCCCCCAACAGGTACACTTTCCCAACAATATGAAACACCTTCAAGAAAGTTAATATCACTATCTGATCTCCGGAAAATGAACTATTGTCTCTGCCCTTACTTGCAATGGAGAAATAACTTATACAGGAGAAATAATTTTGTCAGATTTCATCTGATCCATGTCTGCTATGTTCTCTCTTTCTTTCAAAACCAACACAAAGGCCAATTCCCAAAGCAGTTTAACAGCTGTTCCTTCACCCCAGGGGACTCTGGGAGGAGAATAGAGGACTCTCAGCAACCTTAACAAACCACACTTCCCAGAATTCTTTAGGAGAGAAGCTGTGACTGTTAAAGTGGCATAAGAGTGCTTTAAATGCATCATGTGGCCACATAGAAATTCCATAAATTATACCTTTGTTGTGCATAACCGCATTGAGGTTTGCTGCTGAAAACAAACTTTGCTGAGATCTTATGCCTGAGGAAGAATCTGCACATGTTCTTTGCTCTTTCCCTTAGAAAGACCCCGACAACCCCTCCTCATTTAACCACCTTGACATGTGCAACAATGCTTTGCAATGATGCTTAAGTGATGTGGTCTACTAAGGCACAAATGGGGAAACTGTGACCTTCCAGATCTCAGACTCCAGCTCACATTGGCCTCAGCCAGCATGGCCAAAGTTCAGGGACGATGGGAGCTGTAGTTCAGGGATATCTTGGAGGACCACAGGTTCCCCATCCTTGGTATCAACTCCTCTCAAACCTTCATGGATACAGGGACAATTGTAGGGTACCTTACTGGACCAAATCCTTGCTATGTATCTTTGGTGCATAGGGTGAGAATCTGCCATTTGTGCTTCAGCAAGGAGAAACCCCACAATTTTATTCCAGCAAGGACACCGTTAAGTATTGGTGGTGATCTCTGTGTTACAGAGCTGCCGAAACATCTGATAAAGAACACTGCCTGTGTCAGTCCCTGAGAAATAAATGGGAACTTCAAGAAACTGCCTTGTAATTGAGAAATCCAACAGTGAGCTGTCTTCATTTATTCTCATTAGAGCTTCTTGTTCCATTTCATCCCATAAGGACCATTTTCTTTCCCCAATTTTTTAAAATTTAAAAGAAAACCATCCTTATCTAGGACTCCCCCTCACGTGCCCCCTCCACCCTCCACTTTTAGGAAACTCCACAAAGTACTGTGAGACCACCAACTTCTTTGCAAAGGAGAAAAGTTCTCAGCGGAGAAGATAGGAGCTAGTTGCTGCAACGCTCCGGTTGAAAAGGTTGCCAGATTTTCCCCAGATAAGTTGTGCTGCTTTTCAGCAGACGGACTTTTGCTTTGTTCAGTTTCAGCTGTGTTCAAGCAAGGTTTTTTGCTTTTCGTTTTGGAGAAAACGCCAAGCGCTTAATATCATAAATTACTTTGGAAACCCCCACTGCTGTGGGAAACTCCGACTGAAACTTTTTTGCACAGGCAACTTATCTCTCTCCAACGCTTGCAAACTGCCTTTGAGGAGGGTTGCCGTGGTCCCAGAAGAACCAGCGATCCCTCCCTCTGAAAATCCTCCGGAAAGAGTGAACCCAATTTATCAAAGGAGGAGATAATCTCCAGAGACCAAAGCGAAAAGTCTGCCGCAGAGTTATTTTGGTTGCCCAATTTACTCACAGTTCTGTGGCGTTCCTGGGGATGTCCTGCGGCACTTGGGTCACCTTGCTATCCTGGCAGGTGAACATCAAGTTGTCCAAGAACTGACAGGTGGGATGCCCGGAGCCAGCCCCCAAGAGGAGAAGCAGGCAGAAGAAGGCAGAAGAGAACAGGGCCATGCTTGCCTCTGCAATGCCCTCTCTCCCGGCCACTGAAAGAGAAGCTCCTCCCGCCTCACTCCTTCCACCGAGGCACCGCCTTAATGGGCAGTGGTGAGTCATGCGACACCCAAGGAAGGTCTTCTGCATGTCAGGGGTGGGCCAGAAGGTGGATCTGCAGTCAATATGAGTGATCTGCAGCAAGGTTTCCTCCCTCCCCAATTGTTAGAGTAAACAGCAACATAACATCAGGGAAGGGCTGTAGTTCAGTGGCAAAGCACATAGGTGGACTGATTGATTGGCTGATTGTATTTACTGTACTTTTCCGTGTATAAGACGATTTTTTAATTATAAAATAATGTAAAAGAATTGGCGTCGTCTTATATACGGATATTTCAGAGGCGGGCAAGCAGGAGATTGTCAATGACGATTGGGTGGGTGATTGGTGGCTGTGTCAAGGGCTGGTGTCGATTGGCTGTTGCTTTGTCAATTGGGCGGGTGATTGGTGGCTGTGTGAAGGCCTGCTGTTGATTGGCTGCTGCTGCAGCAATTGGGTGTGGTTGGTGGCTTTGGTGACATGTGCGATTTGCAGTGTCAGTCAGGAGGCTGAGTGGTTTTTGGCAATCGCCCCCCCCCCAAAAAAAGCTCAACAACTCAGGGCAATCTCCCCCCATTATCTTAATTTGGTGTCCCCCAAAATAGGGGTCGTCTTATACACAGAAAAATACAGTATATTCTGCTTTTCATTCAAATGAATTTCAAAGAAGCTTACAACCAATAAATAACCATAACATAATAAAACACAATAGCACATGATGAATACAGCATACATCATATAAAATAATTAACAAATTACCAATAAAACAGTTGCAATTTAAAAAAAACACCACTTAACAAAACAGCAACTAAAAAATAAGCTAACCCTCACAATTATGGCAAGTCATATGATTAACAAATCAATGCGGCATCTAGAATTGATAAAACGATATTAAAAACATTAACAAAATAGCAACTAAAAATATAAGTTAAGCACTAAGTCCGTTCACACAATCTCTGCAACCCCATGACTCATACCTTCTCTCCTTTAAAACAAAACCGTACAGCAAACCAACAAGACAATCAATACTAATTGAAATGATAAGAATTACATTTATACTGAAACTAAACTAATCCCCAGCCCCATCAAACATCCATCCCACCCACAACAGCTCAAAACAAACAAACAAAAAAACAACAACAACATTTAAAACACCACAGATGAACAAGTATTTTGAACATTTAAAAACATTTTTGACATGCTCAGAGTGAGTGTGGGCCCCACCCCCTAGGCCAGGTGGAAATAGGCCTTGCAGCAGGTCTTCCTTCCACACTCACAACAGCAGTGTGGACCAGGGGTCTGACTTTGTATGTGGCATCTGACGACATTGCTACCAAGGCAGGGAACCTCAGCTCACTTCTACTGGGGGAAACAGTTGCCCTGGCTCAGAAGGTGTCATGAGGTGGGGAGTAAGGAAAAACAGTCCCACAGGGATAGCTCACTCAGTAGAGCAGGAGACTCGTAACCCCAGAGTCTTGGGTTCGAACCCCATGCTGGGCAGAAGATTCCTGCATTGCAGGGGGTTGAACTAAATGATCTTTGTGGCCCCTTCCCACTCTGTATTCTAGGATCTTACTGCAAACCTACATATTTCACACTTCCCCAATCAATGTGCAAACTCAGACGAAGTTTTCATTTGAAAGTTGCACTTCTCCACCAAACCTTGCAATGCATTTTCCAAGCCAAAGAAAAAAGTGTGCCAAGGTTCATATGCTAGTGAAAATAAATTTTCTTAATGCATTATATTAGGGGAAATTGCTTGCAAGAAGGTGCGCATGGTGCAAAATTGCTCATAGAAATGTGTTTATTCAGTGCAATGTGCACTAAAATGCTGGCAGATTTTCATGAGTACTTTAAAAAACCAACAGCTTGATCTGATGAACTGAATGTAGGATTGGGAAACCGAGAAACTGAGAGAAACCAAAAGTGACAGTTATGTCCCTCGGAGGCATTCAGTTATTTCATGTTTTCTGCACCTGCCTCTGGTTGGTAGACCTTGGGATACTCGTAAATATCAAAGTTTGCCTGCCCTCCTCTGTATGGCCTTCAGGGTCTCGGAGAAGGCGGGTGATGATTTTTTTTGCTCATAATAATACTACAGTTGTACCTTGGATCCCGAACACCTTAGTACTCAGACATTTTGGCTCCTGAACACTGCAAACCCAGAAGTGAGTGTTCTGGTTTGTGAACGTTCTTTGGAACCTGAATGTCTGCTGGGGCTTCCACGGCTTCCGATTGGAGCATCCTGCAGCCAATCAGAATGCATGCTTTGGTTTCCGAATGTTTTGGAAGGCAAATGGACTTCTGGAACAGATTCCGTTCGACTTCCAAGGTACGACTTCATTTTCTTTTACTTTCAGAGGTTCTCAGTTTCACCGATGTTCAGAGTCTGTGGATGTTTGGAGCAGAGGAAACTTGACATTCTGTTTGTATATGCTCAGGGTGCTCTTGCTTGTTGGATTTTAAATTCGTACCTGAAATTTAGGGTGCTTGAGAACTGCTTGCTTTATAGCATCCTAGAATTGTAGAGTTGGAAGGGACCTTGAGGATCATGTAGCCCAGGGGTGGTCAACCGTTTTATACCTGTTGTTGTTTAGTCGTGTCCGACTCTTCGTGACCCCATGGACCAGAGCACGCCAGGCACTCCTGTCTTCCCCTGCCTCCCGCAGTTTGGTCAAACTCATGCTGGTAGCTTTGAGAACACTGTCCAACCATCTCGTCCTCTGTCGTCCCCTTCTTCTTGTGCCCTTTCCCAGCATCAGGGTCTTTTCCAGGGAGTCTTCTCTTCTTTCACCCCCATTAAGAGGTTCTTTAATTCCTCCACATGAAATTTTCATACTTACCGCCCACAATGCATTGATGGTAAAATTTACTTATTGCCCACCAGTGCTTGATGGAAGGAGGATTCAGCTTGTGCCATAGAACCCCCTACCGCCCACCTGGAATCCTGAAATGTCCACTAGTGGGCAGTAGGGACCAGGTTGACACCCCCCCCCCGATCTAGCCCAACCCCCTCCAATGCAGGAGTATGAAGCTATCCGATATAGGAATCGAACCCACAACCTTGGCATTATCAGCACCACACTCTAACCAGCTGAGCTATCTATGAGATCTGACCTCAAAAACTGGCCAATTTTATTGTTAGGTTAGTCTCACCCAACCTGGTGTCTTATAAATGTTTTAGACTTCAACTTCCAGCATCCTGGACCATTGGTCATGCTGGCTGGGTGCATGGGGGAGGGGCCAGAAATCTGGGAAATTCTGGGTTGGAGTCTTCAGGCTGAAGACATCTTTCTTCTCGCTTGCTCCCATGAAATCCTTTTTAACGGGGGGATGCCAGGATTTCCAAGCCCATTGTCGTATGCCAATTTAGGCCTCAAGAAACACTGCTTCAGAGAGAAGCGGGGTGTGTGTTCATATGACTGGATGCTCTTCTACACAAAATGTTTTCAAAAATCCACGCAGGTAGAAAACTAGCACTTCAAGGAGTGAGCTCAAGTTGAACACTTCCCCTTGACATTATTTACAGGGATTTATTTACTTTTTTTGTGGGGGTATGGAATATCATTCCAGTATCTCAGGACCCCCCTTCCCTCATTCTGCCACATGAGGTGGCGCAGCCCAGACGCAGGTTTATCACCCTCATCTGCTATTTGCGGGAAGTCCCCCCCCCCGTGTGGAACGCTCCCAGGTCATGCATACTGAAAGGAGCCCCATAAATATCCCTCTAGATAATGCTTGCTTGCCGTCTGTTTCAAAGCGTGCCAAGTATCTCAGTAGCATATGTCAACAAACAAGCAGGCACACACAGCAGTATCCGTTTCTCCGTCTGACCTGACAGTGCCCTTATTGCCACTAGACAAATAATTTTTAAAAAAGATCCTGATGTAGGGGGGTTGCTTAGATGCTAGTAATTGCTGTGCGGTTGAGACTTGATCTATAGTGGCGTTTAAGGGAGGCTTGCATTGAGTGGAGAGAATGGGCGACTGCAGAGTTGTGATGCAACTGAAACACACAGACACTAAATCAGCAAACAACCCAGAAACCGAAACAGAGTTTCTGGGGCGTGAATTTGAAGGTCATCAAGGACCTTTAAACCACCTCCCCACCCCCCTTTCCCATCTGGCAAGGGTTCATTTAGATTCTGCACCTCTTCTTAGACAACAAACTAAGGCTGGTGCTGGTGGGGAGGACAGCAAGCTCAAGGTTTTTAACTTTTTGCAGGATGCGGTGAAAGTGGAAGGATGCCCCCCCTTTCCTCGCTGATAAGGCTAGAATTCAGGGTCACCCAATGGACCGGCAGCAGATTCAGAAGAGTCTAAATAAAAGTGCATGCAAAAAAAGGGAGAGAGCAGGAAATTGCAGGTGCAGAGGGAAAGCTTTGATACAGTCACATCACATTTGGAATATTTGGCTGCATTTCCTTTGGGGCAACCATTTTTTTTGGGGGGGGAGGGACACATGCCAGTGGCAGGCATAAAAAGGTAAAGGGACCCCTGACCATTATGTCCAGTCGTGGCCGACTCTGGGGTTGCGGCACTCATCTCGCTTTATTGGCCGAGGGAGCCGGCGTACAGCTTTCGGGTCATGTGGCCAGCATGACTAAGCCGCTTCTGGCGAACCAGAGCAGTGCACGGAAACGCCGTTTACCTTCCCGCCAGAGCGGTACCTATTTATCTACTTGCACTTTGACATGCTTTCAAACTGCTAGGTTGGCAGGAGCAGGGACTGAGCAACGGGAGCTCACCCCGACGTGGGGATTCGAACCACTGACCTTCTGATCGGCAAGCCCTAGGCTCTGTGGTTTAACTCACAGTGCCACCAGCGTCCCAGCTGCAAAAGTGGGTGGAGAAACCTTTGTACAGTAGGCTGTTTTGCAAACACACTCACGCAACCCTCTGTAGCCTCCATCCAGGCAAGGAAGACACATTGCCAGAGTTTTAGGACACATTACAAGCCAGGCAAGAGGACCCAAGGAGGGTGCAAGGCAGGGCTGGTAAAGGATGTATCCTGGGGGAGAGGAAGTATGATTTTGGGGAGAGCTGGGGTGTGTGTGTTTGCCTATGGCCTGTGGTCCTGAATTCCCTCCCCCCTGCACTGC